TGTTCCCATTTCTTGAGACCTACAGCGGGTACCCAGGTAGGGTCGGGGAATAGGGGGATTGGTACCTGGGTAGTAAACTTGGAATCGTTCCAGCCCTAGTTTGTTTCTTGGTCAACAGATCTCAGGATCCCAAGGGACTCGCCAGGAAAGTTTGATCAGCGCACATGTCTGTGACTTTTGCCACTAGTCCAAAGTCAAGCAGAATTTCATTTGGTCGAGTAAACTTAACTAGTCTGTTATATTAAGGCTAGAATGTTCTGAAACTGATGTAAAGAGACAAGTACAGGCTGATTGACTCAAAAGTTTTCAGCACAGCTCAGTGTTTCTGTTTTAACATGGTCGGTAAACTAAAAGGCTGCCAGATCTTGTGTCAGGTATAAATATTATATGGTATGCCATTGGAGTTATATGCTTTATCTGACTCGCCTCCGTGGTCTAATGGTAGAGCATCCGCCCGGAGAGCGGAAGGTCCGGGGTTCGATCCCCAGCCGCGTCATACCAATAGACGTTAAAAGATGGTACTTGTTGTTACCCTGTCTGGCGCTCGGCATTAAGGGGCTAAAACAAAGACTGGTTGGCTCTGAGTCAGTATACTGTGTCTGAGTGGGGTATTCATGTTAAACTGCGGCATGGCATCTCAGTGTGCTAGCACTATAAATCGGCATCAGTCCGGACTAGTACAAGAGGCCACACACACACACATACACGTGCATGCACGTCGCTATTTAAGTGCAATAATCTTGGATGTGACGTTAAACCCCATTTCACCTCACCTTTATCTGACTCATACAGTATATAGTTATCTTTTGTCGTAAATGGATCGCAAACACGATCTATGAATGAATGATGAAACTCCGAAAGTCAGACGACATGCAGTGATAATTCTTCTGCAAAATAAACATCAAAGCAACAATCAAACAGACGAATGATTGTCTTTGGTTCCTAGGCTTTCAGCCCATTGGGAATCCAGTTTGGAATAAAATAGGCCTTCAAGCAAACTATGCTGGCTGTAAGAGGCCACATGATGAATCTGTTGGTCAGGCTCGGTGGCTTGGTTTATAGCGTGTCTTTGTACCCTGATGGTGTTACTGGATTGTTGCTCACAATATCGATCACTGGACTGTCTGGTCCAGACTCGACTCTTTGCAGACCGCTTTCATATAGCAAGAATGTTGCTCAGTGCGGTGTTAAACAACAGACAAACAGTTTCTATGCTTTCATTGGGGTAGTTGCACAATGTGACCACGCATGACATGGTTCAAGAGCATGATGACCAGTAAAAAGCAGGCAACACTGACAACTATCTGTTATCAAGTCTGGACCAGACAATCCAGTGATTGACGTCATGAGCATCGATCCACGCAATTAGGATATGATGACATGCATCAACCAAGTCAGCGAGTCTGACCACCTGATCCCATTAGTCGCCTCTTACAACAAGCATTGATTGCTGAAGACCTGTTCTAACCTGGATCTTCATGGGTGGAAAATTATCTATTTGAGAAAGATGCAAAATTTTGAAATGCAACTCAGAAACAAAATTTGGTAATGTCTAGTGATTGTGCTAAAGGCAAATTTACTTTATACTTTATCAGCTTTTAACAAGATATTCTTCTGCATCATAACCAAATTTCTTTTTTATATCTTAAGACATTTTGTCAGCACCAAACCCATGCTTGTGGGTTTAACCTCACTCACTCACTCACTCACTCACTCACTCACTCACTCACTCACTCACTCACTCACTCACTCACTCAATGGACCAAAAGCCTTTAGCTGTGCTTTTAATCCTTGTCTGCAGAATGCTCTTGTTGGAAGAATATGATGTTCAATTTGCATGCTGAAAAAATAATAAATACAAATATGTAATAAGTATCTATACAATGTTTTATTTCAATAAGACATGCATTCTTGTCGAGGACATGTACACAGTTTGTGGTGGCGGGAACCACAGTTATCGGAGCCCCTATGCAGAAAGGGAGGTTCTCCATTCGAAATGCTTGATTCAGTAATCAAGGGCAGATTTTGGGGGGTGATTTAGATTCTTCAGAAACTCAGACCAATTTTGTATCATGTTTTACAAAAATGCTATAAAATATTTGATGTAAGGTTTGTTTTTTAAACATTGTTTGATTTTTGTTACTACAAACTGATTAGGTATTTAATTCTAATTTCATCTACTGGCATTTTGACCATGAAAATTTGTAAAATCATTAATTAGTGTGGTCTTACCTACCTAATGGTTAAAGTGAGTGAGTATGGTTTTATGCCGCTTTTAGCAATATTCCAGCAATATCACGGCAGGGGACACCACAAATGGGCTTCACACATTGTACCCATGTCGGGAATCAAACCAGGGTCTTCGGCGTGACGAACTAACGCTTTAACCACTAGGCTACCCAACCACCCCCCTAATGGTTCAAGCAAGACTGACATACTACTCAAGTAGGTTAAGGATCTTCTGATTCTTTCATGTAACTGTACATGCTATAGTTAATCTTGTCATGACATGACGTAGTAATATGAAAGAATCGGTCATCATGGCATCATAGATAAACTATAGTAATATGAAAGAATCGGATGATCCTTAACTTTTATTGAGTAGTATATCAAAATATGCAAGTCATACTCATCAGGTATTTTTAGTCAACCAAACTCTTGTGGCTGAAGCTGATTCATGATCAGGGATGGAAATTAATCAAGAACGCCTATGACTCTAAATAGGGATAACATATACCGTATATCGCCATGTATAAGGTGAGGTTTTTATACCTAGAATTAGGGGTTTTTCAAGGGGGGTCATCTTATACACAGGGTTGAAGAGTTTTGATGTTCCCCCCCAACACAAAGACATTATCGTGAGCACATAACACTGGAAATACAATACCATGTCAACAAATCCGTACTGAAGTACACAAATTAATCATGTAAATACACTGTCTGGTTTTAAAAAGTGTTCATTGTATTTCTGGATTTATGTTTGTAACCTGTATCTGGCAGTAGCGATCGGCTGTACCAAAGTCCTATGATTATGGTTATTAATTTTTTTTAAATGTATATAGTAAAGCTGCAACTAAAATAACACGATACTGGAATATATTGTTCCTGATAAAATAATAGTTTCAGATACAATTCTTCCGATCATTGTATCAAAAATCTTTAAAGTTATATTATTGGTAATATTTAACCGAATCACTGATTGGGAAAAAAATGTGTGAACACCTGAATGCTGTTTCCGACTTTGTTTACAATTGAGACAATACAATACACAGGGTAATCTGAATCTCTGCATTTTAAACAATGGCACTCAGAACAGAAAATACAATTTAAAAGGTAAATCATCGTGTGTAGTGATGTTTTATCTCAAGTTTCAAATTTGTATTGACCAAGTTTACTTGTTATCACCTGTTTATTTACCTGAATTCGCTGAAGGGATACAATGTCATTTTTATCTGCGGAAGACAAACACGTTTTTATTGCAAATGTAGGGGTTGTGTATGTGCTGGTGATGTGCTTAATTCCGATTCGCTTTATGGACGGGGTCTATAAATTAGCATCGATTTTGAAGGCTTTTACTGGTGGGTTGCCTTATAGGCGGGTCACTTTAAAGAAGGCGATATACAGTGACAATACCCCTCCAAATTCTACTAATCTTTAGTGGTATTCACAAAACTGGTTCGGCTAGCGATCTCGTACTAAGTTCCATCCCTGCATGATGTGGTTCTGATATGTAGGAAACAGCAGAAAGTACCATCTTCTTTTATAAAGAAATCTAGTAAGAATTCTAAGAGTTCTATTTGTCATATAAATGTCTTCAGGGATTGTCAGAGTCAGCATCTGAAAAAGGATTGCTTGGATAATCGGAACCACAATGTACACCTTAAACTATGAATACATAATTACAGAGTGAAATGTTCCAGAATAGAGAGAAAACTGAAAAAACAAACTGTTTCCGCCCCAAACCTGGAACAATAACACTGATCATTCCAGTATCCTGGAAACTAAACACAAACAGGACAATGGCTTCTATAACAGGAACAGTCTTATAGATTTCTACACACACCTTTGCATAATTCTTGTATGATACATGGACACGGAAGATATACACACTGCTAGCCCTAACCCCTGCAGGACTAAATAACCAATGGGTGTTAGAAGCTATGGCTAGATCTAACATGTCATAACACAGTTATCAGCCGTATTACATGTATACTACACAAAAGAAGTTAAAGAACACCCCATTGTTTAATGACAGATTAACTAGTAATATAAAGACTCACGGGTGTTCTTTAACTTCTTTTGAGTAGTATATTAGGCACCAACCATTTTGTGTAGGACACTGGAAATATTTCCCCTTAAGGCCAGATTATGTTCGTTTCTTGTTCTACGGATATATTTTGCGAGAAAATCGTTTTTGTTTAGTGGGAAAAAACAAGGTTAAATAAGATAAGACAAGATTAATTTTTGTTTGATGGCGCATTTGAGATAATTAGTTTATCATTTTTATTTTATTTGATAAATTTTGAAATTTAAAAAAAAGTCCTGCCCAACTATTATGTGGTTGGTTAACATGGTTAACAGTTTTTAGGCACACCCTGTTGTTAAAAAAGATATTGTTTTGAAAATAATATTGTAAAATGTCTGTCTTGAAGGATTCTCAGCTCTCATCTACATACTTATGTTTATGATCCATCTTTGTATCCTCAGTGCTAGTTTAATATGTGCTACACATGTACTGTATCCCTACAACAGCCTTGATGGACTATAGTCATTAAATCGGTTCAAATAATTTCAAACAATTTTGAATGAATATTTAAGTACCATATTCTTTTGGGTATAGTGCACACTTTCCCCAGTCATCTAAGGCGCCGCTATTCGCTGTGCAGAGTTGCGTCCCTTGGACACACCAGAAACCTATGATTGTGGGTTCGAATCCCGGTTCGCCCTGATTATGTTTCTAGGTTTGTCAGCACCATACCCGTACTCGTGGGTTTCACCGAAGTGGTAAACGTCTGAGACCTGCATCACTTCGGGCTTTCTTCCCACATTAAGCTGACACGCCGCAATATAACTGGATCAATACTGTTAAAAGCGGCGTTAAACCCAACTCACTCACTATTTATAGCAACCATGGTTAGATTACAGCTATTGGCACCTTGAAACAAACTTTAGTTGACAGAGAATGGATGCATATATCATAAATACCATACTTTCACTTGTTGAAAGTGATATTTGTTGTAATTTGATGATTGTGTATCAATATATCGTTTTTGCGATCAAACTGGCAAGACTGCGGGAAGTCTCAATGGTGACTGGTCAAATTGTTCCATATGTAAATAATATCTGGCAATAGGAATCAGCTGTACCTACACTTGCTACACTTATGGTTATTATTTTGAATATATATATTAAAAGCTGCAACTAAAATGACACTGTATTTAAATTCATTATTCCTGTTGAAATAATAGTTTCAAATTCATTTAAAACAAATTCTGATCATTCTTTCAAAATTCATTTCTAGAATAGAGAAAATGTGTGTACAACTAATTGCTATGTCCACCTCAGATTACAAGAGAAAAACCAAGGTATTTTTAATCTCTGCATGTAAAACAATGCCTATCAGAACAGGAAATACAGTTTAACTGGTAACTTCTCATGTCTTGTCTTGTATTTTTCTCAAATTTCATCTTTTTAATGACCAAGATGGTTATTCCCTGAACATGTGAAGGAATATGATGTAGTTTTTAACTGTGCTTAAACAAACAATCTATTTCCAAAATACAAATCCCCCATTTGATTGCGAGTCATGCTTGGGTGCACACTGTACTCAAAAACATATGGTGCTAAAGAATTTCAGAAATGTTTTCATAATAATATATTGATTCAAGATCTATTGTTTTGCTGTCCATGTGATATGTACAGGCTGGTAAGAGGCCTGGTAACCAACCTGAGATTTGGGCATTGGACATGTCCTCCTTGGCCCTACTGGAGCAGCCGTATATCAAACTGGCCAATACTTTCCACTACCCAAGCAGATGGAATTAATCCAGCTTATTCAGAGGCCTTCAGATAAGATAGAATTTATTGCAAGCTCGGGATTTTGTGACCCACATGCAGGACCACGTCAAGATGCCCTCTCAGTGGACGATAAGTCTGTTCCATATTGTGCTAAAACTTGCTGAAATTGTGTGAAATGAGTTTCTTTATATATAATTTGCAAGTTATTAAAAAATAATGCATATGGTATCTTTACCAAGTTAAATTGGCAATGACTATGATGTGGCTTATTTTTTTTAACTGCGCTGCGTAATTTCATTGTTTATGGCTGATGCCGGTTTTTTTGGATAACGTCTTTTTTCTGTCTGCTCATCCATCATTACCGTGTCCGCAACTTATGTCATCTTAGTAACAACACTGAAGATGCCTGCAGTTGTTGACTCAGGGGGTTAAGCCCTGACAGGCATTTATTGTGGGGAATAGGGCAGAGGGCAGCTGGTGTTTTATTACCCGACCAGGAGGTTAGTGATAAAACTCTAAGTACCGAATTTAATTATTCACAATGTCAAGATCAAGGGTCGTTTCACACATTCAACAATGTATGCAATGTTTTTGTAGGATTAACTGATATAGCAGAAACAGTATATGTATAATGTCTAAGAATCACAAGATAGATAAACGCGGCGAACGTATCAGCCAACGAAAACAGTTGTCACCGCTGCGGCGGTAGCTTTAGGCCACGCCCCCAAATTAGTTTGTTTTGGAAAGTGGATTACTGAGCGTGTGATTTCAGCACTTTCACTTGGACATTTAAATACTTTCTGCGAATATTATTGTTATTATCTCTCTCTCTCTCTCTTTCTCTCTCTCTCTTTCTCTCTCTCTCTCTCTCTCCTCTCTCTCTCGGAAATTGACTAACTGTATCTTGGAAATTTATTTTCGCAAAATGTTTTTCGCTTTACTTGACCTTTACGTGATAATATATACTTCACTGTTGGGGAATACGTATTGTGTATACCTGTTCTAATCAAATGATAACATGCTTTACTGTTGGGGAATACATATTGTGTATACCTGTTCTAATCAAATGATAACATGCTTCACTGTTAGGGAATACGTATTGTGTATATCTGTTCTAATCAAATGATAACATGCTTCACTGTTAGGGAATACGTATTGTGTATACATGTTCTAGTTAAGTGATAACATTTGCAGAGGAGAAAGCATGATAAATGATAATATAGTTGACAAAATATATATGGATCTTTCAAATCTCATCAGACTTTAACACTGACATCACATGTTGCTATGGTGAAACACCTTCGTTTATATTTACAAATATAGCACAGTTCCAAGTATGGGTCCTTGTCCCACAAAGCCATTTCTGGCAGGACATAATTCTCACATACACTACCAGTAATATAATTGGCATGAATTGTTCCACATTCTCACCAATATTCATAACACTCCCAAACACTTGATTATGAATCTGTAACAAGAGACACATAGTTGCTTGTGTTAATCCAATCACAGGTTACATAACACTCTGCGGTTGTCGGGTAGTCACATGACTTTTAACCAGTCATATTGTATGTTACACCAAGGTCCAGTTGAACTGTCTTTCCCATTGCTCCCGGGCAGGTGTCTTAGTAGATGATGGGAATTTGTAAAATCAACAAAATGCACTTGGTCCATCCCAGAATTGAACAGAGAGGCTGTTCCTGACAAACAACGGCCAGTCATTGATCTTGATCTGTCCCATACTATGCTTAGAAGGAATTATGGCCATAATCCTAAAGATGGCCGCTATTGCACCACTGGAAACTTTCACTATTCCTTCAATGAAATCCACTTTCAGAATTTTCAAATCCTTTGGAAGAAATACCTTTGTCTTTTGCCCTGAGCATTAATTTATGTCATCCATTCTGGGAACTTATTTCGGTCAAACGGGAGACTCATTCCGTCTGTCGTAGTCATAATCATGTTCGTGGTCCAGCATTCCGTTGGAAACTGGGTCGTGTTCGGGCATCTTCTTCTCAGAATTAAAAAGCAGCAAAATTAATCTTGCTATTAACTCCATGAGTTCCATGATAGTCAGTACTGAAATCCCCATCCACAGTCCCAGAGTGCCGCCAATATCAGCAAACAGATCGGCCAGGCCATACGCTGGGAGCTGGCGAAACTCCACCACACTTAAATCCTCCAGGTAAATGTTAAGTCGCAGCAAATTCTGCCGAATCAAGTTTGATGCTCTCTCGGTTTTCTCTTTCTCGGATAACGAGTAACTTTGTTTGATGATGTTCTCAGTTCTTGAATCATTTCTATCACTCTTCAACTTTGTAAGGTTGGCCAGATTGGAAAGATACGTATAAGCCTCATGCATAAAGTTTTGGTTTATTTTGTCTCCATAAAGCAATTGCAAGGCATTCAGCTGGTAAAACTCCAGGGGCCAGTACGAAAGCGACACCGATTTTTGAAACGTTGTCTCATGGCAAGGCTGGAAACATTTACACGATTTTTCATACGATCTGTCGTGGGACATCTTTTGTATCAGTTCTTGCTCACACTTGAGCTTAGGGAGGTCTACGTGCCTTGTTTCGTTAGAGTTCATTGCCTTGTACATCAGATCCTTCCAATTGTCTATCACGCCACAGAAGGTCACATTTTCCGCTTCAGTTTCCGGCAGATCAGATGACATGCAGCCACACTGACTCATGATAAGTCGCTGCTGACAAAGCTGCAAACATGAGAAGAACGTGTTCCGATACACCTGCGTTCCCAGCAAGTCATCGTTTGTGCAGTTTCCGTAGGGCTCCGACAGCCGCGTGTGCAGCACGGCTTTCAATCCGATGGAGGAGGAATACCCAGGTGGAACATCAAAGCCGTGATTTACTGGACTTGGCATGGTGTTGGGTGCATGCACCACCACTCTGACCCCCGCACTGTGGAGGATGTTGGAATTCATATCATACAATCCGTAGGACCCCAATGGAGGATCGTCATTGTCAAGGGAGATAATCAAGGAGAGACCTTTTTGTGGTCCAGTTGCGTGCATCAGTAGCTTCTCCGCCATATCTCCTCCATTGAATGTGAAGCAACTGTAATAATTTCCATCGAAAAATGTTGTAAAATTGTGCACCGAACAGACTTCGTCACTGAATTTGCAGTTGATGAGAAAGTCGTTTATGTCATGGCTCATAAACTTGGCTTCTTCGCCAAGATTCTCATAGAAGGCCCGGATAGACGTTAAGTGAGCAGCATGCTGATCATCAAAACGTAACTTTTCACTGCTCACAAAATTAATCCAAGAAATGAGTTCTGTGCTGTTTGATGAAAACAGAATGCGCATTTTGCGCCAAGAAATGGGTTCGATGTTACATACAGAAATGGACGGGAACTCCACGGGCATGCTCTCCTTGATCTCGGAGAGCTCCACCACCTGGAACTGTAGGTATTTCCTCACCAACAGGGACAGCTGGAGTGTTGCTGCTGTGAAACCCATGATCACCAAGAGGGCCCAGATCACCTTGCGCTTTGTGTCGTCGGACGTAACAATCTTTGCAAAGCCGTGAGCATTGCTCTCCGACCCTAACTCTGCAATCACGGAGAGGGCAGTGCGGTTTCTGTGGCGATGACGTTGCTTGACCATTCTAACAGGGTCGTTCAGAAGACCAAACTTGCCCACGCCTGAAAACTTCATATGTTCGCTTCTGTGACCTCTGAAAAATACAAATGTTATAAGGGAATTATGGAGTGTCATAAATCCAGTGGAAGTTTGAATGTAAACAAAAGTTTTATGTCGGCAATATTCCAGCTATATCATGGCAGCCTGTACATAATTGAGTCTGGATCAGACAAACCAGAGGTTGATATTTTTGAGTATCTTCCCATGCTGTCAACATTACTGATTGAAACTGATGCAGAAGTGACAGGCCTCTCACCCATAATTTTCTTTTTATGAAATCTGAAAAATGAAAGTCAGTTTGTAAACATTTTAATTTTGTTCTGCTGTAATGTAAAAAATGTACAATTTCGATGATCTCGAACTTGCCCACGCCTGAAAACTTCATATGTTCGCTTCTGTGACCTCTGAAAAATACAAATGTTATAAGGGAATTATGGAGTGTCATAAATCCAGTGGAAGTTTGAATGTAAACAAAAGTTTTATGTCGGCAATATTCCAGCTATATCATGGCAGCCTGTACATAATTGAGTCTGGATCAGACAAACCAGAGGTTGATATTTTTGAGTATCTTCCCATGCTGTCAACATTACTGATTGAAACTGATGCAGAAGTGACAGGCCTCTCACCCATAATTTTCTTTTTATGAAATCTGAAAAATGAAAGTCAGTTTGTAAACATTTTAATTTTGTTCTGCTGTAATGTAAAAAATGTACAATTTCGAAGGGCACTTTCTTCTGGAAAAAAATGATTTTATTAACTATTGAAACAATAAAATCTTTGGAAGTAAATTGTTCCAAATGCTGACTTTTATCATCAGCTTGGAGATTGATGCCAGCATTTGTAGTATCGGTGTTATTCATTTTCCTAATTGTAACAAGCTTCTTTAGGAAGTTAAGGAATTTTGAATTTAAAAAAAATAAAAAATTGGGATCCTGGATCTTGAATACTGACCAAACAATCTGTAAGAATTAGGAAAAAACAAGTTAGAGAATTGAACTTACACATTACATTCTTAGTGACGTGCCTATTGTAGCTCCTGCACTTTAACACAAGTTAACAATAGTCAAAGCACTAAGATGGCATACAGTGGTCACAGTGCAAGATAGCTTTGTTTAAGCGGGCCCAGGGCCAAGGCAAATAATAATGATAAAATATCCTCCAGACCCATGGGGAATCCAGGTTATAATAAGTCCCCAGCAACCCATGCTGGTTGTACGTGGTTGGGTGGTCAGATTCAGTGACTTTGTTGCATGTCATCGTACACCTACGGTGTGAAAATGTTGCTCATAACCATCAATCACTGGATTGGCTGGTCCAGACTTAATTTTTTCTTTGTTCTTTTATTCTTTTGTTGTTTAACGCCGCACTCAGCATATTCAGCTATATGACGCGGGCTGTACATTATCGAGTCTGGGCCAGACAATCCAGTGATTGACATCATGAGCATCGATCCACGCAATTGGGATCCGATGACATTGATCAACCAAGTCAGCGAGCCTGACCGCCCGATCCCGTTAGTCGTCTCTATGACAATCATAGTCACCTTTTACGACAAGCATGGGCTGCTGAAGATCTAGTCTACCCCGGATCTTCACAGATCACTTGATTATTAACAGGCACTGGAATATTGCTGAGTGCATTGTTAAACAACAAACAAACAAATCGTTTCCTCATGTGGAGCACACTGTATGACATAGTGAGTACTGGAGTCACCTTATTCTTGAGTGTGGAATAAGAAATATTAGCATTTGTGGAAAATAAAACAAGTGGGCTATGATAGCCAAATAACAACTACAACACATGGGTGTTGCATGGGAAGGGGTGTTTTGACAGCCTTGTGTTTGTTGATTGATGAACTGGGAGATAAGGTCCATCTCATAACAACTTAGTCACATTCTAAATCTGGCAATGTTGTTGCTTCTCTAGAGGTATGACTGGTGATGCAAAATGCAGCTGAAATCAAACTCACTCCAACAGAATACAACTGATGGCATCAATAAATATGATACAATGGAGACCTATTAATACCGTGGTCTAGTGGGTAGAGCGTCTGCCTGGAGAGCGGAAGATTGGTGGTTTGATTCTTGGACGTGTCATACCAAAAGACGTTAAAAGATGGTACTTGTTGTTACCCTGCCTTATGCTTAGCATTAAGGGGATAAAACAAGGACAGGTTGACTTAAAACGAGCATTAGTCCGGAGTAGTACAGGCATGCACGTCGCTATAAGTGCAAGAATCTAGAACGTTAAACCCGGTCTCACCCCATCTCACACAATGGATATGTGTTAACCAACAAAGACATGGAAATGAGGATCTGATGATCTGTCATAAGTACTATGGAACAATTAATCGCTATTTTCAAGTGAACTGGTACAGTACGTCAGCTACAGTTATTGCCATTATGCCATCCAGAACTACCTATGCTTCGGTACTAATTCATCCAGTGGCTTGTTCCATTGGACTGACTGGTATTCCTAGCGAATGTCAGTGACGTCTGCTGGTGGGGGGTCACATTTGCTGACCGCGTTTTCAGAACAAGTTTGGCTGATGTATCTGCCACCATTGCTTGTTTCTGTCCTTTTGAACTTACATAGTGATGCCAGACCAATGTATGGGGTGGTGGTGCCCCACTGGTTGGGTAGCCTTGTGGTTAAGGTATGTGCTCGTCATACTTAAGGCCCGGGTTTGATTCCCGACATGGGTACATTGTGTGAAGCCTATTTCTGGTATTCCCTGCTGTGATATTGCTGGAATATGGATAAAAATGGGTAAAACCATACCAATCACTCAGACCAATGTTTAATCTTGTTTTGCTGATTTGGTGTTCCAGGAGGCAAAATGGAAAAGCTTAAAAAATAATTCAGAGTGTGTTTGGTTCAGACACATATTTTATTGTTAGTGAAGACTAACAAAATAAAACAAGAATCTTCTTTAGTTGCATTTGATTAGGATAATATACATATACGAGTCACTAATGCTTTGTCTCTGAAAATATATAGTTTTGATAGAAACAAACAGAGCCATATAATTAAAAAGGAGCCCCCATCTAACTGTTAGATGGACCTGTGGACAATCTAGACTTGCTTCATTTAGGGCTAAAGCATTACGGGTTCAGGGACAGACTTTGTCAATGAGGGCAGGATTTTTTTTATAATTTCAACATCTTTTTTATTCTTTGAATGTCATGTTTCCACACAGTGACTCTTTGGTTGCAGACACGTCAGTTTTAAAGAATACAAATAAGTCACTCCAAAAGGTTTTTGTTATTTTTTCCCAACTCTTTGAAATTACTGTTAGGCGCATCCATGAAGCATTGAAATAGTTTGGTCTTGCTTTAGATGTCTTTCTTATGAAGCTTTGATATTGATTTCAGTACAAGTAACATGATCTATATTGACTTATAATTAACATCTGAAGAAATAATGTGATGGAAGGAAATATTGCACAGTGTGAGATTATTCTTTGGGTTTTTTCATATTTCCACAAACATGTCAGTCTGTCTTGAGAGAGTGTTTTGTTCTGCTTGAATCATAGCACGTCTCCTCTAAACATGGAAATACAAATGAAGCGAAAAAAGGGCATCTTCCAGGTTTATTTGTATGTGTTTTAGCAATTAAACAGAGAGTAAGACATTAATGAGTGACGAGACTGGTAATGATAGTACTCCTACAATGCTGGACTCTGTACAGAGAGATGCTCAAACTCAAAGCCCATTATTATAGTACCGGAAATGAGTATTTATAATGCGCCAAATTCCGTACACTTGTGTTTGCTCGAAGCACTACACCATTATTACCCTGGTCAATTGATCAGTGTGGTCTTAGTAACATTTTCAGCTCCCTTGGGAGCCCCCGAGGTGCCTATGAGACGCTTGGAGGTTAACAGTCACTTTGCCATCTCATCCTCCCTTAGAACCCTCAGCTGGGTGAATATTACATAGGCCAGTGGATCGGAATGGATCAGTGTGCATTTCTATCCTCAGATTCCTGGGAGATATTACCCAAGCTGACAGTTTGACTTCACTTGTAGGTTAAGTCATCGTACGGATGACCAACAAGGTTGTGATATCCCCGTGGGGCGGTCGGGTAGCCTAGTGGTTAAAGTGTTTGCTCGTCAAGACGAAGACCCGGGTTCAATTCCCGACATGAGTACAATGTGGGAAGCCCATTTCTGGTGTCCCCCGCCCTGATATTGCTGGAATATTGCTAAAAGCGGCGTAAAACCATACTCACTCACTCACTGATATCTTTGCAGTGTTATCAACATTTACTCACTCAATGCACCTGTGAAGATCCGGGGTAGAACAGGTCTTCAGCAACTCATGCTTGCCGTAAAAGGCGACTATGCTTGTCGTAAGAGGCGACTAACGGGATCGGGTGGTCAGGCTCGCTGACTTGGTTGATGCATGTCATCATATCCAAATTGCGTGGATTGACAACAAAGTCTAGTCTTCATGATGAACACATGTTATCACTTAACTGTTTTATAACAAAGCTTTGCTAATTCCATAAATTGTGCAGATCCTGGAGTTCAGAAAGGGTGCTTGTAATGCACATCCCCTAAAGTTTTTACTCCTTGACTTGGACAGTTTATTATTCACCTTAGCTGACCTTCACTTGCAGTGTTCCATTCAGCAAGGGAAGTACTCTCTCATCCATTTCTCGAATACCTGCTGTCATTTCTTCAAATGTACATTGATGAATAGTGAATCTTCTTGATTAATTAATTCCAATTTGTCAGGAAACCTCTGGAAATCCCTCGCTACTTTGTCTCATCTAAAGAATGAAGCTTGATATTTTGCATTCTAAAGCAGTTGTTATGATAGTAAGCTAGGTTAATCATTCATAATCAGTTGTGAGGTAAACCTCTTATAAAATAAAAGTAGTTGTCAGCCACTACAACCTGCAGTAGGTAACGCTGCAGAAAAGGTGTACACCTGTCCAAGCCATGTGATTACAACCAGGATGCTGCCTATCTACATGTGAGCAGTAAATTAGTTTAAGCAGCCTTGTGCTCTCTTACGGAGGCCCTCT